GCTCAGTTGAGAAGGTATCATGGCTGACAGAAAACGATTTTACCCTGTTCTCTTTCTAGCTGAATAATTCAAAGCGTTTTTCATTGATTCTTAAGTAGCTTAGTGTTTTTTAGATATTAAGTATTTTGTGGGATGGGCAATTATGCTGTTACACGATTCGGTCAATTTTGCTGTTGAACCCAGTGTTAAATAATAGTTTCAGACTATTATTTTTTAATGTCAGTATATTTTGTCTCGGATCTTCTGAGGCTGACCTTTAAGGTCATATATTAGACAAAACAAAGGAAGTCGTTTTTGATCAGCTAAAAATAATGTGGGATTGTTAGACAAATTGTGTCAAGATGGCTAAACGTCTTACCTGAAAAAAATCAGTTATTTTAGTGATTTTTAATTATTAATATTAAGTGGGATGGACATTCAAGCAGTTTACGATTTGGACAATTTTGTTGTTACACCTGATATATATATATATATATATATATATATATATACAGAATGTATAAAAATACATTCACAAATTTTGGGATCCGGTCCCTCTACATACACATATGTCCCAAAACCCTTCGTTTTTTTTTTTGTTTTTTTTTTATTAAGTTTAAAGTTTAATATGAAAATCCTGGCATTGTTAAGTGGAACACTTCTCTACTACACACATTCAACGTTGAAGACAGACTAGACCTAAATTTACACGAATGACAAATGTAACTTAGTTTACATAACAACACAGCACCATCAGTCGTAAACGTTCTTTAAATTTATTAACTCAAAAACGAAGGATTTGCTGACATATGTTTCCATAAACTTTTGTCTTTGTTTAGGTGTGAGGAACCTGCCCCAATGATTGTAAAAGTATTTTTGACTCACCATATACACACACACACACACACACACACACACACACACATATATATATATATATATATATATATATATATATATATATATATTTCTTTTGACTATATATATATATATATAGTCAAAAGAAAAACTTATCTTAGTCGACATGTTTTGTCGTGATTTTATCACGGTAAATAAATAAAAGGGCTTTTATTTTGTAACAAGTATTTATAGAAAAGAGCAAATATGATGTTAGGTTTTCGAAATTTTAAAATTTAAGAAACACTCCTGAATAATCATCAGGCGAGCTGTTAGATTGGCGGTTAGGTCTCATCACTCTACAAATGAAATGGCTAAATGTAAGCGTAAGTTCTAAGCTAGTAGTTTCCTCTCTCGCCCTTCCCGTTTCTGGAACATTCTTCTGGCTTCTTGCTTTCCAGTTAACTTTGACCTTCAAAAATTTAAATGCAATTGTCTTCTTAATTCATATTCTTTATTTTTCTCTCTACTTAAATATGTTTTTATTTTTTCTCTCATTCATTCGTACTAGGCAATATTTGCGTCTTAGTTGCTTTATTGCCTTGCTTGGGGTGAAATAATTAATATATATGAAAAGTATATGAGTATGAATTCTTTCTGGTGGTTCATGATTTGCCACTCCATGGCACATACACTTCAGCTGACATTATCTGCTGCGGCAAACCAGGATTTGACAGGCAGATTCATGATGACGGGCTGCCGACTAGTTCTGGTATGCAGAACGTCGCCTTGACGACATAGCCGCCTGGAGCTCCCGATAGCATTGCATGCAGGTTTCTCAAGAAGCGCTCGCACCTCCACCACGACACACTGCATACACATTATATACATAAAGTGTTTTAGAAGCTAAAAACATTAACGGGTAAAGTATATAAAATATTTTAAAATATATAAAACAATATATATATATATATATATGTTTTCTTTCTTTTGTTACCTGTTTCTAAAATGAACAAACTTTTCGATATTTCTCTTTATTTATGTAGTATTTCGTAATTTTTCTTGCTTTTTAGTGTTTTTTGTTTATATATATATATATATATATATATATATATATATATATATATATATATATATATAACCACTCTGTAGATGACTCATGTGAGCCGAAAGCATAGGTCAAGGAACAGCTAATTAAAAATATCCAAATGTTGGACAATTTTTGTCTTTATTTTCACCCGAAATTAAAGCAACTATACGAAGCTTAGAACGACTCATGAACAAACATAATAGACATTGTTTGTCTGTTATATTTAACACTATGTGTTCAAGTATATATATATATATATATATATATATATATATGAAGAGAGAGAGAGAGAGAGAGAGAGAGAGAGAGAGAGAGAAAGAAATAATTCTTCCTACATATATTGAGCACCTGCTTAATAAGGACGGGTGATATGCTGAAGAAGAAAAAACTTTAATGAATATATAAATGAAAACTGAACTGATATTAATAAAAATCTGATCAAAAAAACTATAGTTTTTAAATTATCACCATAATCTGTTTGCTGACCATATCAAGGTTGTTGTTTTTTGTTTTTTTTTGTTGTTTTTTTTTTTCTAAATCATTAATTCCATTTTCTTTGGGACAAAATGAAATATCGTCTTGAAAATCTACCCGTACGAAATTAAGCAACGTCGAGCCCTGTCAATACGTGGATGGGTCACCGCTTGTAAATCCTAAGTGCTGTAAATTTGGATGTACAAGTGGTGTAATGAATAATGGCTCGGAATTGTTAATCGGAGAGCCGTGTTCAAATTACTGTTGGGTTCGGTATGTTCACTTATACGCAAATAACCTTTAGAAAGGAGTTGCAACCCAAAGAAGGTTACTGAATAGAATAATCGCACGAGGGTTGGTAATGAACGATAATACTTAGGACAAGAACAACACATAGAAGTTTCGCCAGCGGCGCGCAGAAGTAAGTCAACTGCTAGAAGTGAGTCAAGTGAATTGCACAATAAATTTTTAACTGCTGACCAACATACAGTATTTACTATTATATTTAGGTGAATGGGGACTTATCCATTATCGTCCGTAGGTATGCTACAACAAAAGGCATGAAAATACATCTTCTGTCCCCTTAGAGGGAAATATCTATATTACATTATCATTAACATAATACCAGTAGGTAATCAAATTTCGATAGCTATTAGAACATCATTGAACCGATTCCAAGAAGTGATGCGGTTCTAAAGACAAAATGCGGTATATCTGATGCTAAAGTTGTACACCTGATTTAGTAACCATTGAATATATAAGTTTGGGGTCACATTACATTTCTTTTAAAAAAGAAACTGAAAGTGAGTTTTTTTTTGTATTTTTTAAAGTAAAAGATAACATTTCAGTAACTACAGTGTATTTGCTTTTATTTTTCAGTCTTTCTCCAGGTTACTCTTACTACCAAAAAGTTTGAATTTGGATTCGTCTGTCCACTATACATTTTGACAAACTTTGAAGATTTTGTATGAGAACCATTATGTTGTTTTACACCATTAACACATCAGTAGACTTTCAACTAAGTTCAATGTTAATACAGATTATAATGTTAACTCAGAACTGATTAATGTTGTAAACAAAACGTATGTACCTTATTCTGTTTAAAAGAAAAAAGAATTTGCCACTACGACAGTAATTTTGTAGTTATTTTTTTTTTAATTTTGAAGTCATTTACCGAAAATATCAAAAAAAACAAAGCAGATAAGCATTGAGGGGAGGACACAAATTGAAATTTTAACGAAGGCTACTCTCAAAGACAAATTGCCAAGAAGTTAAAAAAAAAAAGATTTCTAGGCGTGTGGCGCGGTCTTTGTCATCAAGCCAGTTAGAAGCAAATGTTGACAGAAAAAAGAGCTGGAGTATCAAAAGCGACAACTGCCGCTGAAGATATGCCATAAACCAAAGCAAACCAAACCAAACCGATTGTGAATTCAGAGATGTGATAGATAGATAGATAGATAGATAGATCATTATCTATCTATCTATCTATAGATAGATAGATAGATAGATAATGAGCAGACCGAGATAGACAGACAGAGAGACAGACAGACTACGGGCAAAAAGATGAGGGTCACCGTGCATTAATTAAAAAAAAACGTTACAATGGGATATTTTTATATATATTTTTAAGAAAATTTCAGTAACTACAGCGTATTTGCTTTTGTTTTTCAGTCTATCTCTAGGTTTCTCTTACTACCAAAAAGTTCAAATTTCAATTTCTTTGTCCACAATACATTTTGCTAAATTATGAATATTTTTAAAGTAAAAGATAAAATTTCAGTAACTACAGTGCATTAACTTTCATTTTGACAAAAGATAAGTGCATAACTATAAAATAATTTATCATACAACAACACCATATTTTGTTTTCGTCAATAAAACCACCACATCCCCTAATTACTGATTTACAAATTCTTGGCATTGTTTCCAAAAGTTTTTGAACAAAATAGATAGCAGACCTTCCCAAGCATTCTTCAAACACTGAAAAAGCTCACGCTCAATCTTTGGGTATTCTCTTTGAGCTGCACTATCCAACTTATCTCATACTAATTAAAAGGGAGGGACGTCAGAAGAATGAGGCTACTAAGTCATAATTTCCAAAATTGTATTCCTTTTTGTTGACTCGACGTAAACTTGACATAATTGTTGTTAATTCAGAAGATAGGTTTGTAACGTTGTCTCGCTGAAAATGAATTTTCCAGTTATGCGTAAACCAGATGTTATAGCAGGTCTTTGCAAAGTCAAATGATATTGTTCTTTTTTTGATAATCTCAAAAAAGTGTACTGAGGAGTTAATGGAGAAAACAAAATGTAATTTTACTTATATATTCTTAATTTAGAAAAATGTATTGTGCACAGACGTAGCCAAATTATAACTTTTTGGTAATCGGTACCTGGACAAATAAAAGCAATGTAGATACTTACATTCTGTCTTTTACTGTAAAAAAAAATACGAAAATATCTCATCTTAAGGTGTTGTTTAAAGAACTACAGGATGGCATCAAACTTTTACCTATAGTGTATATATAGATATATACATATGGGGGTGCACCCACGCATGCGTGTATGGCTCTATTGCGCCTACTTTCAAGGATCATTACCAGGATACTCAGTGAGACGGATGTCGACCATTCCCAATGCTGTTCGTAACAAATGAACCTTCATGGGCTTTGACGAAATTTAAATTAGATTTTCCCATTCCATTTCCCTCATCATAGGCCCAAAAGCCCAAGCCGCATGTAAGCATATATATATAACTATATTTCTATATATTATTATATATTGTAAGCCGAATCTATCATTAAGAGACAAACGTGTGAGTGGCCCACGTGTTTAGCACACTTTCACTTTCACTTTCACTTCGTTATGTCACGTGTGAGTGCGTCTGGCCAACGAAAAGCCAGTTTCCGCTCATTGCACAATATCCGGCACCTTTTAAAATGCTTTTAACTTGGTCGGATTCAAGAAGAATTTACCAATCTCTTTGGAGAGCTAAGAACTAATCGCTTCACAATATTGACAGGATTTCATTTAACATAATCTGTTCTGAGACAGTCTTAAATTCTATCTATCTCAGTCCTTCATCTCTCTCTCACTCTCTCTCTTTCTATCTATCTCTCTCTCTCTCTCTCTCTATATATATATATATATATATATATATAGAGAGAGAGAGAGAGAGAGAGAGATACAGACAGACAGACAGAGAGAAGGCACCGTGGAGTCGCTGATAGGGCCGAGTTCAAATTCCGTTCACTTACGTCCTAATACCCTTGAGAAAGTTATGAATCTTCTTCTTCTCCCTTCAGCTATGGGTAAATAGCAGGACAAACTGGGTTCTATAGCCTTGGATGGCCCTGGTCTCGGAGAAGGACAACTGAATTCAAAAGCTGCGTAGTGTCGTCACAGTCAATCTATTTATCTTCGTCGTCTCTTTATATTTCTTTATCTTCATTTCATCTATCTATCTATAGAGTCTAAGTCATATCTATCTATCTATCTATCTATCTATCTATCTATCTATCTACCAGTCTCTCGGTCTCTTCATATCTATCTGTCTACCTCGATCTGATTTATCGATCAATTTTTTCATGTTTTTTCATATCTATCTATATATCTGTCTATTTATGTCTCTTTAGTATTTTCATCTCGATCTCATCTCTTCATATCTATCTATCTATCTATCTATCTATCTGCTTGCTTTAATCTCTTTATATCTATCTATCTATTTATCTATCTTAATCTCTTTATATCTATATATCTTAATCTCTTCATATTTATCCTAATATCTATCGCTCTCTCTCTCTCTCTCTCTCTATCTATCTATCTATCTATTTATCGTAATCTCTTTATTTCTATTTATTTGTCAGTTCATGTCAATTCCAATATCAAACTACGCCGTCTCTACATATCTATCCCAAGTCTCATCTATATAGCTCTTCCTATATACCAATTCTATTCATATTAATTTATCTATCTATATAGATATTACTGAATTTGTCCATCAGACTTTAAATATGATCGGCGAATTCATTCGACAGGGTTCATTACAAGCTCATGGCTTAGGATATCGCATAATATTTGCTTTCCTCGAATCGTTCCTAGCAAAATGGTTTATAAAAAAAAACGTGATAAACAGATATGCTTCTAGATTATTTCATATTAATGTGGGGGCCTCATAAACTCTGTCCTTATACTTATATTTTTCTTATCTTCATCAACGATGTTATCAATGTTATTAGTTCGCATCTAGACTTCTGTCTTAGTAGCAAGTCCGACTGGGCCGACCACTCCGAGAAAGTAAAACTGGCAACTGCTCTCGAAATAGTTAACTGAGCTAACGAATGGCTTGTAAATTTTAAAATTTCCTCCTCCTGCTTTCATTTAATCATCATAGAAAACCATTTTCTGCCTGCAGGAAATTATCTCTTTCTGCCTTCTTAAGCTCACGTTTTCTACTGACATGACGTGTCGTGGTTACATTAAATCAAATTCTAGGCCGATAAACAACATCTTCGGCCTGGATATGACGATAAACTACATCCGCCTCCAGGGTATGACGATAAACTACATCCGCCTCCAGGGTATGACGATAAATTACATCCGCCTCCAGGGTATGATGATAAACTACATCCGCCTCCAGGGTATGACGATAAATTACATCCGCCTCCAGGGTATGATGATAAACTACATCCGCCTCCTGGGTATGACGATAATAATACATCCGCCTCCAGGGTATGATGATAAACTACATCCGCCTCCAGAGTATGACGATAAATTACATCCGCCTCCAGGGTATGACGATAAATTACATCCGCCTACTGGGTATGACGATAATAATACATCTGCCTCCTGGGTATGATGATAAACTACATCCGCCTCCAGGGTATGACCATAAACTACAACCGCCTCCAGGGTATGACGATAAATTACATCCGCTTTCAGGGTATGATGATAAACTACATCCGCCTCCTGGGTATGACGATAATAATAGATCCGCCTGCTGGGTATGATGATAAACTACATCCGCCTGCTGGTTATGATGATAAACTACATCCGCCTCCTGGGTATGAAGATAATAATACCTCCGCCTCCTGGGTATGATGATAAACTACATCCGCCTCCAGGGTATGACGATAAACTACATCCGCCTCCTGGGTATGATGATAAGCTACATCCGCCTCCTGGGTATGACGATAAACTACATCCGCATCCTGGTTATGATGATAAACTACATTCGCGTCCTGGGTATGACAATAAACTACATCCGCCTCCTAGGTATGGCGATAAACTACCTCTGCCTCCTGGGTATGACGACAAACTACATCCGCCTCCTGGGCATGACAATAAATTACATCCGTATCCCGGGTATGACGATAATAATACATCCGCCTCCTGGGTATGATGATAATAATACATCCGCCTTCAGGGTATGATAATAAACTACATCCGCCTCCTGGGTATGACGATAATAATACATCCGCCTCCTGGGTATGATGATAAACTACATCCGCCCTCAGGGTATGATGATAAACTACATCCGCCTCCTGGGTATAATGATAAACTACATCTGAGAGCAAGGCCTCTGATCAGCAGATATTGAGGAGCATGGAACCACATGTTAATGGCTGGTGTTCCCAGACCCTGGGTGGCAGTACCTGTTAGGGTCCCAGCTATGGGCAAATAATTAACCTCCACAAGTCAAAACATTATGAAAGTATAAACATAGGTTTTAATACAAGCAATACTTTTTTGGAAAAAATTATTACCAGCTGTACAGCTTTGAAAAAGAAAAATATTACCAGCAATATATTTTTGAAAAGAAAAATTCAGGAATACATTTTTGAAAAAAAATATACCAGTAATACATTGTTGGGAAAAACAATACATTTTTTGAAGGAAAAAAATATTGTCATCAATAAAAATCTTGTCGGCATTAAATAACCCATTGAGCTTGATATGCTGTAAAACAAAACTAGCCAAAGCAAATCAAGTACTAGGTCCACTGCGAAGACAGTTGGCTCAGTGTCTCGTATCAGACAATTTTTCTCGTCAGTATCTATATTGCACATTTATAAATGTACCGTTTATTTGGCTCAGAAAGATAATGGGGAAATTTTAGAATGCAGAACACACAATAAAGAACAAAAATCAGTGAAATAGAAAATGGCGTTGCATTTAAAGTTTTGAGAGAGGCGTGGAAACAAAAGAAATATAACTTACGATTATTTCTCCTTTACCTTTGATAAGCGAATCATTAATAAGAAGAATGAACAAACGATCCAACTAGACGTTTTCAAACAAGTCAAAATGTTTACCACTCGTTGAAGAAGCTAAATAAATATTATAAACTTCACGATACCTCAAGATTCTACTCACACATTTTGACTGAGTCATTCACATTCTATACTAATTCATCGTGGCGACATACTGCCGGCTCAATAAACAGTGAGTGTCAGTTCACACACATACAGTAAGATTCCCTTTCACTGGCAGCCAAGTTGCAACAAGGCTGCGCGGCCAGTTCTCGAGGTATTCAAAATTTAAAGACCAAGTATATATTTTAAACCAATATCTGTTTCTGCGTGTCTCTTTCTCTTTATATATATATATAATACTAATAATCTTATAAATATAGGCAGCTATACTCGTCCGGCAAAACCTTAGGTGTTTTTTAGCTTGTAAAGGAACAAACCAATACCCAAGGGAAAGAAGGGGGAAAAAAAAGAAAGAACTAAGAACATATACTTCCGGCGAAAATAATCGTCTAAAATCAAAGTTCAGAGTCCAAAGAAAAAAAACCTCCGACAGGAGTAACGTAAAAATAACTAAGCAAAGTGCTCAATACGCTAAGTACAGGAGACTAAGTAAACCTAAAGTCCCAGTTTACCCTGACGATCCGCGTAGGTGACACCTAGGTAGGTTTGTCTGGCTCTTTAGGTTTACTTATATATATATATATATATATATATATATATATATATATATATATATATAAACCCAAAAGTCAGCATTCAAGTTAACGCCTAGAGTCAACAGTCTGTTTCATGCTAAACGCAATCATTAGGCCATGTGAGTTGTGTTTTTGCTCGACTATGTATGCATACAAGACAGTGATACAAGTGTAGTATTTTGTATTGCATTGTGGTTAGTCTATTGCATTCTGATTAGTCTATTGTATTGCATTGTGGGTAGTCTATTGTATTGCATTGTGGGTAGTCTATTGTATTATTCTAACGGTTATTTTGGTGGGCACTAATGGTTTCTAGTTATTCTAGGGGCTTTTGAGTGGGAATAATTGTGGATCTGAATGCAGTTATTTGCTATTTATAGTTAGTTAACGTATTTATTCATCATTGATTATTTTATTGTTGGTTGCTATTGTTAAGTTCGCTTGAGTTTATGAATGCGTTCGGGGTTTGTTAATTTCTTTATTATTTACTTAATATTAATTTAAATATTTTGTGGTTTGGATTCCTTTATTTTACTTGTTGTTGTTTATTACTTTATTTTATTTATTTTCATGGACATTTGGAAGAAGTGAAAGGCATGTGAGAACAAGGGCGAGATTACTGCCAAACGAAAGGCCCACGACGTTCGTTCTTCGGCCGTTAGGACTGACGAGTTCGTCGCCGCCGTCGAGGAGACAGTCGACAATGATGGAAGCCAGAGCTACGCCAAGATCGCCGCTGACATGGGCTGTCACAAGTCGACGATCTGCCGAACGATCAAGAAGGACATTGGTTACTCCTCCTACCGCAAGTCTCACCGCATGGTCATCACGAATGCCTCCAAGGGGTCGAGGAAGGTCAAGGCGGCGGCTTTGCTGAACGAGCTCAAGCACGGGTCCACCGGGATGCTGAGGTTCTTCTCTGATGAAAAGAATTACATCCAGGACCAGACAAGCAACAGCTAGAACGACAGGTGGATCTGCAAAGACATCGAGGGGGTTCCCGTCTTGAAGCATACGAAGTTTTCCTCCTCCGTCATGGTCCTTGGCGTCATCGCCAGCGAGGGGGACGTCATGCTTCCGTTCTTCTTTCAAAAGAGCTTGAGAATCACCGTTGAGATCTACCAGGGGGTGCTGAGGAGCGTGGTGAATCCCTAGATGGGCGAGATCGCCGCCGGACGCCCCTACGTCTTCCAGAAGGACTCCGCTCCTGCACACATGGCCAAGACGATTCAGGCGTGGCTGTTTAACAATGTTCCTCACCACTGGTTGCCGGACTTGTGGCCGCCCTCCTCACCCGACTGTAACCGCCTTGACTATTTCTTCTGGGACGTTATTGAGGCCAAGACCAACAAGCACGCCTACAAAACGGTCGACTCTCTGAAGGCTGCCATCGTGGGGGCGTTCGCCGCTATGGACAAGGACATGTGTCTCATTTCGCGCCCACCTTGAGATGGTCGTTGCCGCCGCCGCCCCCGCCGGTTACATTAAAATATAATGTAGTATGTAACTCTAACTCACTAGCTAAATAAACTGTCGGGTCTCTACATATACAACTTTTGTTTTTATTGCCTATTACGTTTTCTTTTTGTCAAGTGTTGCATTTTGCTACAACACCCTGTACATTCTGTTATATAAAGGTCAATAGACTGATATCAGAAACAGATAGGAACATATCAAATTCACCCCGTACAAGGCAGTAAAGCCACTAAGACACAAGAGCTTACCGAGTGTGAAAGAATTAGGACAGAATCATTATTGTGCAGGAAGAGACAGATGTAATCAGGAGGAAACTAGAGAGCTATTGACATTGCATTTACATTTTTGCAGATTAAAGTTGGCTGGAAAGAATGGATCCGGAATGAAGTTCCCCGAGAACTTAGATCTACCCAATTCAACTGTAAATTGGTGAGATTTCGGTGCCTGTCTAGTACTGCGCTTAAATTAAAAATAGTCTAGGTACCATAGTGAAGAGCTCATCCGAACTATTACCAAGAAAGTATTTATAATAAAAAAAGCTCAGAGAGGGAACCTTACGGAGGTGGGCAAGAAACAAATGATCAATAATATAGCTGATTTTCTTGGAATCTTATCAAGTAGTCCAAGGTAAATAGCAAGGGAACCGGACCATGTGTGGCAGCAATATTCTAAGCACGGACGAATGGCAGACTTATAGATATGTAAGATAGATTCTGGAGAGAAGAATATTGCTTATTCTGCTTTGAATCTTTTCAAGGAGCTCAAGGTAAATAGCAGGAGCACCGGCCCATATGTGGCAGCAATATTCTAAGCATGGACGAATGGTAGACTTATAGATATGTAAGATAGATTCTGGAGAGAAGAATATTGCTGATTCTTCTTTGAATCTTATCAAGGAGCTCAAGGTAAATAGCAGGGGTACCGGACCATATGTGGCAGCAATATTCTAAGCATGGACGAATGGTAGACTTATAGATATGTAAGATAGATTCTGGAGAGAAGGATATTGCTGATTCTGCTTTGAATCTTATCAAGGAGCTCAAGGTAAATAGCAGGAGTACCGGACCATATGTGGCAGCAATATTCTAAGCATGGACGAATGGTAGACTTATAGATATGTAAGATAGATTCTGGAGAGAAGAATATTGCTTATTCTGCTTTGAATCTTATCAAGGAGCTCAAGGTAAATAGCAGGGTCAACGGACCATATGTGGCAGCAATATTCTAATTTTACTTTCTTGCCACAAGCATTATGATTTTATTGCTAATACAATGTAGGGAAGATCCAGATTGGGGTGGAGGGGAAGGAGTATTATAACCAAGGTTTTCTTTCAAATTCTACCCAAATTAGTTGTGAATGTGTATGCGCGCGTGTGACTGAGTACATGGAGTAAGTACATGTAAGTCACTCATACAATGGTAGACTTATAGATATGTAAGATAGATTCTGGAGAGAATATTGCTGATTCTTCTTTGAATCTTATCAAGGAACTCAAGGTAAATAGCGGGGGAACCGGACCATATGTGGCAGCAATATTCTAAGCATGGACGAATGGTAGACTTATAGATATGTAAGATAGATTCTGGAGAGAAGAATATTACAGATTCTTCTTTGGGTCTTTTATAGAAGCTCAAGGCAAATAGCAGGGTCACCGGACCATATGTGGCAGCAATATTCTAACCATGGACGAATTTTAGGCTTATAGATATGTAAGATAGATTCTGTAGAGAAAAATTCTCTCGCACGACACAGTGACCCGACTTTCTTACCAGCCAAGATACTACCGCTCTCTTGGTAGAAGAAAGACAAGCAACCATATGTCAGAAATTAAGCTGTTGATAAGTGTGGTTGCTTTTCTTTTTTACTTTCTTACCACAAGCATTATGATTTTATTGCTCACACAATATAGGGGTGGTCCAGACTGGGTGGGGAGGACTATTATGATCAAGCTCTTCTTTCAAAATTACTAAAATTAGTTGTGAATGTGTATGCGTGCGTGTGACTGAGTACATGGAGTAAGTACATGTAAGTCACTCATACAAAGCATATACACATATAAAAAATATACGTGCATGAAAATTCAGAAGCAGACATCAACCATAATTAATTTTGACTAGTATTTATTTCGTCTTAATTTCAGTTGCTTTATTCCCACTAGTAGCATCTGGAATTTTTATTAGATGAAGACTTGTCAGCCATTATTCATTTTTAATAGAATTTAATTCATCTTAATTTAAATTGCTTTTAGTTCACTAGTTTTAATATTACATTGATTTTTATGAGATGAAACCTTGTCAACAATTATTAATTTTTTAATAAAATTTCTTTCATCTTAATTTCAATTACTTTATGTCCACTAGTATTAGTTTTAATATTATGTGGATTTTTATGAGATGAAACCTTGTCAGCCATTATTAATTTTTAATAGAATTTCTTTCATCTTAATTTAAATTGCTTTTTGTCCACTAGTATTAGTTTTAATATTATGTGGATTTTTTATTAAATGAAGTATTGTTAAGCATTATTCATTTTGGGGTACGATTTCTTTCGTCTTAAATTCAATTGCAGTATGTCCACTAAGTTTACTTTTCATATTATCTGAATTGTTTATGAGATGTAGCATTTTTATGCATTATTCATGTGGGGTAGCATTTCTTTTGTCTTAATTTTAACTGCTTTATGACCACTAGTATTGGTTTTAATATTATCTGGATTTTTTTTATTAGATGTAATATCGTTATGCATTATTCATTTTGGGATATAATTTCTTACATCTTAATTTCAATTGCTTTATGCCCAATAGTTTTTGTTTTAATATTATCAGGATTTTTTGAGTAGATGAAGTAGTGTTAAGCATAAATCATTTTGGAATACAATTTCTTTCATCTTAATTTCAATTGCTTTTCATTGCAGCTGCTAAAATCTATGTGAAACAAGAATGTTAATTAGAAAAGGGAAAAATTAGTAAATTAGTAAAAGTAAAAAAAAAGTAATTACTTTTCTATAGTAGCTAATGAAACTATTAAAATGAAAGACATCTATAAATGAAATACATATATATATATATATATATATATATATATATATATATATATATATATATATATATATATATATATATATATATATACACACACACACACACAGATAAAGCAGTACAGGTTAGCGGCTCGGACTGAGGACTTACACAGCCGAGTTCGAATAACAGTCGAATCTATTACATTCACATACATGCTTATACTCCTGGGAAAGGTCTGAATCCTTTTCTTTTTCCCCAGTTATGTGTAATTAGCAGGACACTCAGGGTTCTATAGTTGGATGACAACTGGTCTAGGAGAAGGGCAGTTCTGAATTCTAAACCCGCGGATCGTTGTTTGGAGATTTTGTGGCACATAGTGCACCAGGCCAACGTATGCAGCCCTTCAAAAAGTGTGGTTGGTTCTGCACAAAGCCTTCACCACTAGAATCAAATCATATGTGCTGGTGTCTGGCTGCCGGTTACTAGGAACTGAGTTGCTGACCGTCATGCATCGAATACGACTGGAGAGTCCACAATAGATAGATAGATAGATATTAACAGACACACACATATATATATATATATATATATATATATATATATATATATATATATATATAGATAGATAGATAGATAGATAGATAGATAGATATTAACAGAATCATATATATATATATATAGATAGATAGATAGATAGATAGATATTAACAGACTCATATATAGATAGATAGATAGATAGATAGATATTAAGACTCATATATAAATATATATATATATATATATATGATTGAGAGAGAGAAAGAGAGAGATGAACAATCAGTTCGATATGAACAAACTGAAATAGATGAATAAACAGAAATAGATTAATAGATAACTGAAATATATATTAAGAAACATATATATATATATATATATATATATATATATCAGAAAAAGGGAAGGAGATAATAGCTATTAATAGATAGATAGAAAGATAGATATTAACAAACTGATATATATGTATATATATATATGTATATATATGTATATATATATGTATGTGTGTGTATATATATATATATATATATCAGAGAGATAGAAAGTGAGAGATGAATAAATCAGTTAGATAGATACAAACAAACTGAGATAGATAGATAGATAGATAGATAGATAGATAGATAGATAGATAGATAGATAGATAGATAGATGTACAGAGTTTTAAAGGAAGCAGTCTCTTCAGAAACAAGACGGACGAATGGTATTCTACTTTCGATTGAAATTCATAAATTTCTTCTATTAAAAGTTTTGTTTTGATTTTTTTTTCTGGAAAATACGTTTCTCAATTTCACTCTTTCGAATAAAAAAAAAATTCGGTGAAAACAATATTTCAAATAAGGTTTCTAGAATCCACGTTTATCACTGTTTCCAGTATTGTTGGGAGCTTCTTTCCAAAGTTTCTCTTCAAAGACTTGTGGAACCTCAACATGT